CATGGGAAACTGCTTAATAAAACCTAGCACTGAGGCTCGGCCGAGATAAGGCAGCACCCACCCTGCATAGGGCTATACTGCTCTTCTCTGTACTGAATCTGAACTGGGTGCTCTCAGGGTAAGAACAAATTATTTCTAGAGCTCCTAGTGATGACTGCAACACAATTTGGTTTGCACATTTTCTATTCTTGTGCTTCTCATTCTCATCATTTCTTATTCTCTATCATTTTGTCATGCAAGCATCTATTCAGAGCTCTCTGACCTGACTTCACCCTTGGCTTTTTGCTTTCTGCTGGGATCCTTCAATAAACTAACCATTTCCAAGAATGGATGAAGGAGTAGTTTGGAAAAAAAAAGATCCATTCATCTTAAGGCACCACCAAGTTTCTAGTACATGCCAGGTAGCCTCTTTTGTAGCACATTGGTACATACAAGGCAGGCAATTTTGAAAATTTAAGAACTGAGTCTTCACCATGTAGATTTAAAACTCCCAACGTGAGTGATGTGCATACACACAATGGCTACCACCTAAGCTAAAAGAGCACTACTTCAAAAAACACATTATGATTCCACTAAGGCTGCAAGGACCACTGGAAAGCAAGCAGCTAACACCCCTCTTCCCTAGGTACTAGACCTTTGCTATCAACTAGCATCACACACCAATCAGAGTTTCCAATACACACGAGACTGGGTCACAGTGACTGCTTACATTTCTTTTCAGGCATTTTCTGCAAACTTAAACCAATCCCAGAGTGCAAACCTGCAAAGTTCCTTATAAAGCCCTGTATTTGCCTTGAGGAAAACAGGGGCATTTGTTGTGATCCTGAGGATAAACACGGGGATATCTCCAAGCCAGTTGTGCAACAACAAGCATTTTTGGGAAGCTCGTGCTGCTGTTGCACAAAATGTCCTTCTGCAGCAGGCTCGAGTACCTTAGTACAAACAGAGAACCAATTCCCTATAGGAGACAGTCCAGTACAGGCAACATGGAAAAAGACCAATTCTCTAAAGGTCTCTACAAGACCACCTTATAGTTTTTTTACCCCATTATAGAAGTAAATTCACAGCACAAGCCAATGGACTGATTACATTGGCTTGATAATTCTTAATGGAACCGAAAAAAATTAAATAATTGGAAGCTATCCTTGGGAGAACCCTTCTTATTTTGAGCTAGTTACACCAAAATAGTTCTCTATACCCCTTCATATGGCAAATACTCCCAGATAAAAGAACCACAGTAATCCTTTACAAAAACACTGCTCACAGCTAAAGATTTGTTCTTTGTGTGCTGCAGTCATGGATCAAGACTGGTGTTGTTCGGTGCTATATAAATACGGGACAGAATTCTTGTCCCTCCAAGCTTCTAATCTAAATAGATCATGAAGCAAAGAGGTTAAGCCAACAGAGGAGGAGCATGGAGAAAAACAGAAGATGGTAATTGTCATATATACTGATAGAGTCTGAGCAGCCTGGGAAGAACCTGAAAAATCAGCAGGAACATACGATCAGCCAGCTTAGAGATAGCTTGAAACAGTCCCCCTTCGTCTTCATTGGTTTCCAGGCACAAGCGTTCCTTCAGACAGCTACTGAGGAGCTTCTCCATCACATCTCTAGAAGCTGTTCTTCACAGTCCTGCAGCTGTTGCTCGGCTTGGCCTCACAGCAGTGCAGTGTGGCAGGCTAAGGAGAGGCAGACCAAGGAGATGAGACCAGACRGCAATCAGGTTGCCTGGCTCTGCAAGCAGGGGACAAACCAACTCTCTGATGTTGGAGAGTCAGAGCACTGGCAGGGCCCCAGGCTGACCCGCTGCCAAGCAGCTCCCCGATCATTACAGGAGTTTCTCCAGCTTGCTTTCTGGTGAACACCCAGGCAAGCCCAGGCTGTCAGACCCAATCGCTCAGGCCAGCGGGGACCAGAGGGATTTGCACCCTAACCTTTTCCCAGCACAGCGAGACAGAGCCGTGGTGCTCCATGCCCTTCAGGCAGCACTGTAAGGGAGTTCTTCATGTCAGAGCTGAGGGCAGAGCACAGCTACAGCAGGAACAGAAGGTGAGTTTGCTGCTCCAGCCTCCCCACTAAGCATTCTGCCACAGGTAAGACACTCATTATGAGCACATCTTTGCCATACTGTTGTAAGGCAGGCTAAACRCGCAAGTCAGAGCCATGTGTATATTTGTATTCAGCAACTTCAGTACAAAATCTCCACTCCATATTTCCTACTCTTATCATTCCCCAGAGACCCTGCATACAGTGCAAGTCTAAACTTGGCTCCCAGTGCATCTGCTCTCGATCCAAGAGGGCAGACTACTTAACCTCCTGCTGCACCCTCAGATTTAGAGCAACCACATAGACTTTGCACTTACTGATGAAGCATCAAAGTTGAATGTGGAAGAAGAGATACAGACTCTTCTTTCTTCTCTGTGGGTAAGAGACTACCTACTCTGCAGATAAAACAAGATTTGAGCCACTCAACCATTGGAGTAAGCAGCCCCCTAATGCAAGAGCGGCGTACAGGCTCAGCAGCAAACCAGAAAGCTGGGTGGCTGGGCACATATCATACTCCTTTGGATTTCTAAACCCATCAGTTGAAGAGAGTCAAAGCTCATGCTTTTTAGCAACTAATCAGCAAATGTAACACAAGGGACAAAGTCAGGCTTACATATTAAATCCACATGAAAATATTTGCTTACAGGAATATTTCCTTCCTTAGTAAAAAGGATTCATCAACAAAATACAAAATTGGCTAGGGGAGGTAAGAGAAAAGCACAAGAACTCTGCCATCTGACAATTTAAATCAGTTAAACAAAACATTCATTTAAATGAACATATTTGCCATTTCTTACTGGCCAAGAAACTCACTATTGTCCATTCTGAATTTTTCACATCAGAAACAAAATTGACCATTTCACATGGAAATTTCCGTTCCGATTAAGAGTGCTGTTTGTTACATAAGCAGCTTGAAATAAAAACTTGACCAGCTGCAGTCTCAGATAACAATCAACATCACCAGTGCTTGCATAGAGGCAAACATCCCATCACACACTCCACCTTCCACTCCTCACACCTTCCTTCACCTAACCTTTGCAATAGAAGCAGGTCATAAGTCCTGTCACACTTAGAAAAGGCTCTTTGGAACATCCTTTTAACATCAGTCAATGAGGCTGGACTCAGCAGAACCATTAGAGCAGTTTGTTGACCAGGCACTTACAAAGTGGGCAAGAGAAAGGGCAGTTCCATTGCTACAGTTTAGTGCCAGAAGACAAAAACACTTGGGTCCTGCTGGTCGCTTTGGGAAACCATTTGGCCCCCTGCTCCCTACCTGTGTTGCGGCTGAGACCCACATGGGCTCAGCACATGATTCATGCCTTCTGCTTTGGCTTTGCTAGCATTATGGAGCACCCCAGATACCAAAGAAATGAGTATATTAATAAAAGCTTATTGTGTTTCCTAGATAAAAAGCAGCACTAATCATGAGTTTACAGAGGAAACACTTGTGGTTATAGTTTAGAGCTTTTTCCATTTGCTCCAGACTTTCAGCATTTGGCCTCTGTGAAGCAAGTCTTGACCTCAAGTTGAGGTGGATGCAAAAGTGCTATCGTTCTTTTTTTATCTTCCAAGGTAAGCAACTGTCCCTAGTTAGCTTCTGCAGAGTCACTTTTCATTTCTGTGGGACAGACTCAAAGACAGCTCTTAAAAGAAATCAGCTCTTAACCCTTACCTCAGTATCTCAGCTGCTGGAGCCTTCAGTATCACAGCCACACTGTGACACCTTGTCAAGACTAATGTAGAGAGGGAACAAGATGCTGCCCCTACAGAACATACAGCACATCTGAGCTTCTGAACACATTCCTACAGAGAAAGCCTTTTGTAACAGTAGTCACTGAAGCAAAGCCCCTTCTCTGTCGTACACTGAGCAGTTCTACAGATGCTTGTCTTTTGGGGACCTCTGCCCAGTCTGTATCACACATGTGATGTGATGCACAGGGCTGTCCCCCACAGCAGGTCTCCAGCAGCCATGTGAACAATTTACTCTATTGCTTGAGCCCCTCAGTGATGGAATGTGCACAAGCCCCCTGAGGGAAGGAGACACATGCCCTCATACAGCTGGGGAATGGGGAGACCCAGGAGTCAGAGCCCAACTGCAGCAGATCTCTAAGCCACCCTCCTGCCAGAGCGGTCCGGGAAGCAGAGCGGAGACACAAACTCCCTCATCACATTACGGTGCCTCCGGAGACACCAAGAGCCACGCTGCTGCCAAGCCACCCTTGAGGCAAGTCCCCTTAGAGACCTCAGGGCTGCAAACCCCTTGTCTCTGGAAGCTACAGCTCTAAGAGCTCTCCCCTCAACYCTCCTGCCTTCACTGCCCTCCGCCTTTAGTCTTCTTTCCAGCTCTTCTAGTCAGCCACCTCTTTCCTAGCTCTTCTTACAGCAACCTTTCTGCCCCCTTTTTATTAAGCTTCCCCTTGGATTTCTTCCTCTATCTCCCCTCTTTCCCCCAGCCTCCTCTTGCTTGCACTTTAGCACATCTGTTTCTAATTTGAGGCATCCACTGGAAACAATAGCCCCTTTTTATTTTAAAATCGGAATGTTAAATGCCAGAGCAAAGCAAAACAGTTAAGCAAACTTGACACTACGCCTGAAACAAAGACATTTTGTTCACCTTGCTTTCCCGATGAGGTTAAAACCCTCCACTAACTCATTGCTAATAAGCACTGTACTTTTAAAAATCCAAAATGAGCAGGTTTAACTGCTACTTATAAAAATGCAACTAGTTTTTAATAACTGTGGGTCATCAACCTACTAGTAATTAAAACACCAAGAAAAACATCAAAAATAAACCCAGACAGTACTGAATTCAGACTTTGGCAAGAGTTTCTTAGCAAGTCCCTTAAGCTCAGCATAAATGTTTTTTTTTTTTTTTGCTGTGCAGAGAGGTCTCATGCAAGCAGCACAAAATGTATATGAGAGCACAGCACAAAAAACCAAAAAAGCCAACATACCTAAAAAGATGATAGAAAGTGCAGACATTCCGTCTCCAGGCAAGAGAGGGACTTTTCCTCCCTTTTTTCTTTCTTTCTTTCTCCCAGGAATGGCAGGCAGACCTGCAGAGAATTCAAAGGAACCCCTCTGGAATGCACCGAGAGTAATCACATCCATGTGCCAGAAAAATAACCAACTTCACTCCTCCTTTCCTTCTGCTATTCATCTTCCTGTCCATATTCCAGGCAGAATCAGTTAGATTTTGTATCTCCACAGCTCGCAATTTGGGCCCATGAGTTTCGGGAAGGGAGGAACAGAGGCGGTGCAGCAAGGAGTTCACATCTACGGCAGCGGAGAACGATTTTGCTCGTCTGAAAAGAAAAGGAGCAAGGGGGAGAAAAACACTGTGCTCAACACTCACCACATGGCTGCCTCGCAGAGGAGCCCCTCCCTACCATCAGCTGGGATTAATAGTGAAGACCAATCATGCAGGGGAGGTACTGCTAAGTCCTAATAAAAACACATTTTAAAATGTTTTTTAATCTTTGGAAGGAAGAAAGAAGGTTTCTCTAGCATCAAAACAGTTAAGTTGGAAAACAGTAAAGACTCCGCATAAAAAAATTCAGGCTCATCACTCAAGGGCTAGAGACAGACTCTTGGAAAGAACACATATGCTCTAAGTGCTAAGTAAACTTGAATATATACATTATCTTTGTTTTCATTTATAGATAGCAAGCTGCAAAATTTAAACCTTTAGCCTTACTGCAGGGCATTTTCATGTTACTTCATTCTTCTCTTTGCAAAAGTCTGAGTTCCTACAAAAAATACTAAAAATAAATTTCATGTAGCTTTAAGTTTGTGATCCATTGTCCAAAGGGCCAAATGAAGCAAACAAGTTATATCTACATTTAGTGACTTTTGTGGATGCCATGTATACAGGCACATTCAGAGTAATTTTAAGCCAGTTAAAGTAACATTTGCAGCCCTTCACTACCATGAGGATAAACTCCTCAGTGTAAGAAGTATCAAGTGCAGTAGGGAAAGGCATTGGCAGAATATGGCTTTGACCATCTATGGGTCTGTTGAGCTTAACTAGCCAGAACTGAGCTTTTCATGATGTAGTGAAATGCCCAAGCTGCTCTTAGCAAAGCCACCAACACAGCTGTTTCACATGTGTGCTTACACACATGAACTGTGATCAGTAGTACTTTACACATATTGGCCATACTTCCATTTACATTCACATCCCAGGATACATCTGCTCTTCAGAAAAATAAAGTACATGCCATTGATCTTCTTGAATACCTACAGGAATAGTGAGATAGGCAGTCTGAAACTCCACAACAGTTAGAGAAAACACCCTAATCAAGTAAATATTTTGGTGACTCTCCTGTACTGCTCTATGTTGCTATTGAGCAGAGAGCAGCACCACAGCTGGTCTATAGAGCTGTACTACAGCAGGCTTACACGGCAACTAAGCATTTTCTGAAAGTAGGCACACTCACACAAGCATGTCCATGATGCACAGCTACTTGCAAATCCAAGGAATTCATTGCCCTTCTGAGCTTGGAGCAGAAGGAAAGATTTGCAAGGGAAAACACAATAAAAACATTCCATTTAACAGCTAAGAATATATTTATAACACTCAAAAGGAAGAACAAGCTATATGCATGCATGCCTGGCAGTCTGTGGTTTCAGAGCTCTGACTTCAGTTCCACCTTCTCTTATTTGTTTCTTATATAAACCCATCAAGACTTAATATCTAAACAACGCCCCCATCCCATAAAGATGGAGAAAAGAAACTGCCCTCGCTCTTTAAAAGTACAAGTAACAAGCCATGATTATTAAGCTCATACTGAGGAACACCATGTTTGGAAGCTCACTGGGACTTCAGTAGCTTAACTCTACACTACAAGATTTTCATGCATTTACTGGAAGAGAAGTGCTACACCGGACAAAACAGGACCTGAGATGCAGGTAAAACAATTAGGGAAAAACAACATAGATGAGAATGTTTAATGAAACAAGAYGAATGAGGAAAACATTCATTTACTCCTCCCAGTTCTAGCAGTTGGGAACRCAACCAGGATTTGTCTCCTCCCTAGGACAGCAGTTCTGTTTAACAGCAAGAAGTCTTGAACAGCAGATGCACCTAGCATACACATAGGCAGCAGCTCTCAATAACAGGGAAATATAACAGTTCCTACAAAACAACTCTGTCTTTGTCATCTGCTTGCAGTATAGGCGCCAGATTTCTGTATGCATTTTCCCCACACACTTGACCAAACAGGCTGCTGTTTTTCAAACAGTTGAGTGGATTCGAGAGAACATTGTTGATTTCCAGGGTAGGACATAAATCAATGGAGAAAAGTGCATTTAATCCCTTCCTCCCCCCTTCTCTCCAGAAGCCAAGCAGCACTGAGCTTGTCTCTCTGCATTACAAGTCTGACAGAAGATGTCCCAAGCTATGCTGGAAATACCCGGCATGCTTCTTGGCTTTAATGAAAGCCATGCCTCAGAAACCCACACAGAAAAGCCTTCTCACCACACCCTAACTGGTGCCGCATATTCCCAACAGCAGCAGCTCTTACGTTCCTATTGCTCAAGTAGAAGCAAGAAATAGAAAAAAATGCTTTGTTTTAAAGCAAAAGCATTCCTGCTTGGACATACAAAAGAAAAATAACTCTGCCCCCAGCTTTCCTTTCTGCTTGTTTTTCAGGAATAGTTGCTACACAGCAGTAACACAGCCTTCTGCTGGCTAGATGCCATCTCATGCTGATCCCTCAGTAAGTCCTTCTAAGGTTCCCCAAACTTAAATCACTTAAGTGACTTAAACTTATAGAGATAGTCAGTCAGGCACCAGCATCCTCCTGCTAGCACAGCTAAACGGGGAGTTAGACTCCCCTGACACAGACTACACAATACAAGTCCTGTAAAAGAGAAAAAAGTATTCACAAAAGTGAGGCAACCCTTTGCAAAGAAGAAAAAACTCAAAGGAGACAGTAGAAAATATCAACTACCATGTAACATCAAAGACAACCCTTCTGTGTGATAAAGCTAAGTATTTCTTCCCTACAGGAAAGACTGCTCTTTATATACAAGTTACCCTTTTTAAATATTTTATGTTTTTAAGTTATTTGTAATTACTAGCAAGGTAACATCTAAGCACTTAATTTTTTTTTCTTATGAAACAAAAGGATACATGAGCTCCTACAACATCATACATTCCAAAAACTACTAGCTCCATATAAACTTTAAAGGGCCTATAATTTAATTTTTAAGAAAAATGCTTATAGTAGTTTCTTAWTTTTGACATTATGTTCTTTAACTAAACCTTTAACTCTGAAGAGGAAGAAAAAAATTTATTTAAACACAACTTTCATGTTCAAATAAATACTGAAAAAGCTTACCTAAAAAARAACCCACACAAAAAAATGCTCTTATCCAACAAGCTGATACCCAAYCTAAATTACATTCAGCTTAACAAATAAGGAACCTTCTCTACCTTACCTTCAACATTCACCTATATTCTACAAAAGGAACATGAAGTGCTACTCCTGCTTTTAAAGCTGTTTCTCTGAAAAACACCTGCCAATGAAAACACGCGTTTTCACTTCCCTGAACGGGATTGGATAATTAGCAAATTACTGGTTGCCAGTGCTCACAGGTGTGGAGCATTAGCAATTAATAAGGGGMGGGAGGGCTAGAGCCCAGAAAGTTAGAAAAGCTGAAGAGAAGAGAAGTTGCTTTCCTGACTGTTTGTAGTTAAAGTAATTTTTGTTTGGTTTTGAGTAAAGGTGTTTTAATGTAAGTGTATGTCTTACTACAGACTGAGGTAAGTTGTTTTTGCTAATTAAGTGTGTTTTTGTGTTTTGGTTAGTACAGGGGAAAGAAAGAGACGGAGGAAGCAAATAAAAGAAAAGGAAAATTATTAGGCTACTTCTTTTTTTTTTTTTTTTTGCTTGTGAAGTAAAGGGGTTTCTTTAAAGTAAAGCTTCAGTTTCATGAGTTTTTTTGTTTAGAGAGGGAGATAATTTTTTTTTTTTGTCAGTAACTTGCTTAAACTAGTGAAAGCTAAAGGTATATTAGCTGGGTTTTGTTATTGTGCAAAGCACGTTATGTGTTGAGTTCTTGTAAAGATTAAAAAAAAAACTAGGAAGTAGGCATGTAAGTAACAATGGAGGAGAAATAATCTTCTCTGGAGAACTCAGAAGGGTCTCTGTTAATCAAGAGTTAAGAGAAGTGCTTTGCTCTTCTCTGAGGTCAGCTATTGGATAGTGTGATGTTTGGTTTTAAGGAAGCTGTACTTATGAGTTGGCTTTTTTTCTGATTTGTCTTTCCAAAGTAAGTAAAAACTGCGGTGAGTAGGACCGTTAAAGAGTAAACTTAAAACTCTGTCTAGAGGGCACTATTTAAAACATGTAAAGTTAAAATTCAGTATGATACAGGAAAGAAAATGCTTCAAAAGGTTTAACTGGGACTGTTTAGGTTGCTCTGAGTAAATTTTAGCTTATTACGGCTTAAGTTATGTTAAGGCTTTTTCTGTTGGTGGGGGCTAATATAGAAGCTCTCACACTGTTTAAGCTCTTAGAGGGGAGAAACATGTTTCTGATGGTTACCAGATAAAACTTGTARAATAGCCCTGTGCTTCCCAGCAAGTTTTTATGCAGAGTCTGGTTACATTTGATCCATTTCCTCCCTTTCCTTGAAATTGTTGCACTTGAAATGTTGTTTTCTTCTTGGTAGTCAAATTTGATGACCTCAGTGGTTAGGATGACAGAATGATTTCATTAGGCATCCAGTGTTGCAAGAAACAGATACAAAGCCATTTGGACATATTCTTTGTTTGCTGATGCCACTGAGCATATAATTCTTCAGAGACAAGTTTAGGAACCCTCAGTAATAATTCTTAGGTTCATGTTGTGCAAAAAGAAGGGGAAAAGCCAGAAAACATATGTGCTTCTATTGCACTTGCTCAATATCTAGCTGTAATGGTTGTAACTGCCTTGCATCTTACTGTGTAAGACTGATGTATTTTTTCTTGGCCGTGGAGATGTGTCATTGACTGAATGAGTTCACTTTTGGTGTTTAACAAATGTAAGTTTGGATCTTTGAACCTGTTTAAATTTTCTAATGTGAGCGTTTGACTACCACAGTAAGGCTTGTGGATACCTGGTAGAAGAAATTTGAGGGTCTAGTTTTTAAGAGAAGTTATGTGCTGTTTCCCTGAAAAAATCAGTGGGTCTGTCTGCTCTGAAAATGACTGCTTCACTTTGGAAATGCTGATTTATTGGTGTAGCTTCTTAATGTGTGTGTGTCCTGTGCATTCAAAATGTGGGGACTTGTGGACTTGCTTGGACACACTTCTGTGCGAGCATGCTCACGT